GAGTTCAGTGCTGGTGAAATCTTTTCATTTGGGTTAGCCCTAAAACTCCTCAAGCTATCAGTAGTAGCTGATATGAAGCTTAGTATATGAAGCTGAATTCTTAAATGGAGAAGAGAGAAAGAATGGGACAGTGGCAGTATGTGAAGCAACAATTATAGCTGAGCATTTATTTATTTATTTGTTTATTTATTTATTTATTTATTTGAGATGGAGTCTTACTCTGTTGCCCAGGCAGAGTGCAGTGGCACGATCTCGGTTCACTTCAACCTCTGCCTCCCAGGTTCAAGAGATTCTCCTGCCTCAGCCTCCTGAGTAGCTGGGACTACAGGCGCACACCACCACGCCCAGCTGTATTTTTAGTAGGGAAAGGGTTTCACCACGTTGGCCAGGCTGGTCTCGAACTCCTGACAAGTGATCCACCCACCTTGACCTCCCAAAGTGCTGAGATTACAGGCATGAGCCACCACGCCCAGCCTGAGCGTTTTTAAAAATAACAAATTACATTATTTGATAGAAGCAAGAGCCATAAAATTAACAGACAAAAAAAAAAAAAAAAAAAACCCCATACCTAGGCATATTATTGTAAACTCCTGAAAAACAAAAATAAAACCTTAAAATTATCTAGAAGAAAATGGTTATTGAAGAACACAATAAGACTGATGTCTGATTTTTCAATACAAGCAATGGGAGCCAGCAGAATAGTAGAATTCTATCTTGAACATACTGAATGTAATTAACTGACAACGCTGAATGCTACATCCTGAGAAAATAGCCTTTTTTTCTTTTTTTTCTTAAGCGATGAGATCTCACTACCGTGCCCAGGCTGGAGTGCAGTGGCTATTCACAGACATGATCATAGCACACCACAGTCTCAAACTCCTGGGCTCCAGTGATCCTTCCACCTCAGCCCTCTGAATAGCAAAGACTATAGGCCCATGCTACCACAACTAGCTTGAAACAGTCTTTTAAACACAAAGTAGAATATATACTAACAAAAATGAATAGAACTTCTTATCATCAGATTTGCTTTAAAGAAAATAAAGGAAGTGCTTTAAGCATAAGGAAAATGAACCCAGATGGAAACTCAGAAATGCAGGAAAGATTAAAGAGTAATAGAAAGGGTAATATTAGGTATATCTTAATAACTGCTGACTGTGAACAATTTTAAAAGGGATTTAACTATATATAGAATTTAACAATATTACATAGTAGCAATAACACATATATCTGATGGGTGGAGGGGAGAAAGGAGGGGGTAACTGAAGTTAAAATTGCTAAGATTTTTGCACTGTAAAAGTACCTGTTTGAGTATCAGTAAGTCAGGTTCGTATATTACAATATCTAGAATAATTTCTAAAATACTAGCAAAATAATGTTTAACAAAATAATGTTTAAAAAGAAAAAAACCTAGAAATATGGAAGGCAACTAGGAAGATAAGTATAAATCCAAATATGTAAGTTTTATATTAAATATAAATAGACTAAACACTCCAAGTAAAATACAAAGACTATCAAACTGAATAAAACAAAAGAAACAACTGTATCTGCTTATAAGAGATATGCTTTACATCTAAAGACACAGAAGGTTAACAGGAGAAAGGATTAAAAAGTATATATCATATAAATAATGATCAAAAGTGCAAACATACTAATGACAAAGTATATGTTAAGACAAGAAGACTGGCCTGGCCTGGTGGCTCATGCCTGTAATCCCAACATTTTGGGAGGTCGAAGTGGGTGGATCACAAGGTCAGGAGTTTGAGAGCAGCCTGGCCAACATGGTGAAACCCTGCCTCTACTAAAATACAAAAATTAGCCAGGTGTGGCAGTGGGCACCTGTAATCCCAGCTATTCAGGAGGCTGAGGCAGGAGAATTGCTTGAACCCAGTGGGTAAAGGTTGCAGTGAGATGAGATCATACTACTACACTCGAGCCTGGGTGACAGAGCAAGACTCCATCTCAAAAAAAAAAAAAGACAAGAAGACCAAGAAACAAAAGGGTTATACAATGTTCATGAACTGGATGCAATATTGTAAACACATCAATTCTCCACAAATTGATCTACATAAATTCAATTAAATTCCTAGAGTTTTTATGAACATTGGTAAATTGATTCTAAAATTTATAATTTGTATATGGAAATGCAAACAGACAAAAATAGGGAAGATAGTCTTATAGAAGAAGGACAAAACAGAAGGGATTTATTCTACCAGATATAAAAACTTACAAACTAGGCCAGGTGCAGTGGCTCATACCTGTAATCCCAGCACTTTGGAAGGCTGAGGAGGGTGGATTGCTTGAGCCAAGCAGCTCAAGACTAGCATGGGCAACATGGCAAAACCCTATCTTTACCCAAAAAAATACAAAAATTAGCCAACCATGGTGGCACACGCCTGTAGGCCCAGCTACTCAGAGGGCTGAAGTGGGAGAATCACTTGAGCCTGTGAGGCAGAGATAGCAGTGAGTCAAGATCATGCCACTGCACTGCAGCCTAGGTGATAGAGCAAGACCCTGTCTCAAAAAAAAAAAAAAAAACCTACTAACTAGAATAAACATGATTGTGGGCTACTGGTGCAAGCTTAAACAAATAGACCAATGGGACAGAATAAAATCTTACCTATATAGGAGAACATGTGGCAAAAGGAATATTCAGAACAGTGGAGAAAAAGATGGTATTTTCAATAAATGTTTCTGGGACAACTGATAGCCATAAGGGAAAAGTCATAAGATTTGACTGTGTCAAACACCATTATTAAGATCAAGAACAAGTATTAGATAATTAGGAATGATAAATATAATCAATCCAAAGTAACAAAAGTAAAAGACATAGAGAATTGGTAATACAAATAGCACATATTAAGGTGGTAGATATATATATTCAAAATACATCAGATATTATATTACAAGTAAATGGAATAAATGCTCCAACTAAAAGGCAAATATTGTCAAACAGGAAAAAAGCAAAATGTAACTATACAGTTTTCACAAGAGATACATCTAAACAAAAATTCAGAAAAATTAGGGGACCAGGCGTGGTGACTCACACCTGTAATCTCAGCACTTTGGAAGGCTGAGGCGGGCGGATCACCTGAGGTCAGGAGTTTGAGACCAGCCTGGCCAACATGGTGAAACCCCATCTCAACTAAAAATACAAAAATTAGCCAGGCATGGTGGGGGGTGCCTATAATACCAGCTACTTAGGAGGTTGAGGCAGGAGAATCGCTTGAACCCAGGAGGCAGAGGTTGCAGTAAGCCAAGATCGCGCCACTGCACTCCAGCCTAGGCAACAAGTGTGAAACTCCATCTCAAAAGAAACAAACAAAAAAAAGCATTCAGAAAAATTAGAAGTAAAAATATGGAAAAGATTTACTATGGAAACACTAACAAAAATTAAACTAATGTATGTACTCATTAATTTCAAATAAATTAGATCTTAAAACAAAATACTGGCCAGGTGTGGTGGCTCACACCTATAATCCCAACATTGAAAGGCCGAGGTAGGAGGATTACTTTAGCTCAGGAGTTTGAGACCAGCCTGAGCAATATAGTGAGACCTTATCTCTACTAAAAATTAAAAAATTAGCCAGGCATAGCAGCACACACCTGCAATCCCCGCTACTTGGGAGACAGGTGTAGGATTGCTTGAGCACAGGAGTTCAAGGCTGCAGTGAGCCATGATGATGCTATTGCACTCCAGCCTGGAGGACAGAGTAAGACCCTGTCTCAAAAAAACAAAACGAAACAGCCGGGTATGGTGGCTCATGCCTGTAATCCCAGCACTTTGGGAGGCTGAGGCGGGTAGATCATGAGGTCAGGAGTTCAAGCCCATCCCAGTCAACATGGTGAAACCCTGTCTCTACTAAAATACAAAAAAAAAAAAAAGAAGCTAGGCATGGTGATGCACACCTGTAGTCCCAGCTACTCAGGAGGCTGAGGCAGGGGAATCACTTGAACCTGGGAGGCGGAAGTTGTAATGAACTGAGATAGCGCCATTGCACTCCAGCCTGGTAACAGAGTAAGACTCCGTCTCAAAAAAAATAAAAACATCGAAACAAAATATTACTATAATAAAAAGGGTTATTGCATAATGACAAAAGATTTAACTCAACAGCAAGATAAAATAATTCTAAATATAACACACTAATAATACTGTTTCTGTTTTAAAAAATAAACATTAACTGAACTACAATGAAAAGCAGAAAAATCAATAATCACAAAGGAAGATTTTAACATATTCTCAGTGTTGGATAAAACAAGCATATAAGAAAAATAAATAAGAATTTGGAAGATTTGAACAACACAATTTAACATGAACTAATGAACATATATGAAATACTTTTCAAGAACAAGAGGGTTTTTTTTAGTTGACTATATTCTGAACCAAAAAGCAAACATCAAGAATCAAAGAAATAAATTCTTATATGGTGTATACTCGGATCATAGGGCAGTTCTGTCACAAATAAATAACCAGGAAATAACCTAGAAAATGTCCATGTTTGGAAATTCAGAAATATACTTTTAAATAACTCAGGGATTAAGAAAAATATAACGGAAATGAGAAACTATTGTTAGCAATCAAAATTTCCAGGATACATACCAAGCTGTTCCTACAGGAAAATGTATTCCTTAAATGCATATTTGAGGGGAAAAAAGGCTGGAAATTAGAGAAGCATCTATCTCAACAAATTAGGAAAAGGAGCTGCAAAATAAACCCATACAAATAAGTAGAAGAAATGAAATAATAAAGAACAAAAATTAATGATATTCCTACTAACAAGTCATCAAATCTGGGGGTGGTCTTTGGGACTGCTAACACAGACCATAGATAGATGATTGATAAATACACAGAAAGACACAGAGAGAAGGAATAAGCACTTTTAAAATCAGGTTTACATTCACGAGATAAATGAATTTGCATATCTAATCATTGTATTTCTTCTTATTGCCAAAAAAGGAACTTCTACTCATATTTTTTCGATTCAATATATGCATTTACTCACCTTTAGTAACTTGATTTCTCGCATTGCAATCTTTTTAACCATTTTGTCATCGTCACTTTCTAAGAACTTCTTTATGGCCACAATTCTTCCAGTATCTTTATTCCTACACTTCACCACCATTCCATAACTCCCTTCTCCAACCAATCCCAGGTTTTCATATTTTTCCATTTTAACTTAAAGTCAGTAGACACTTTTTGCTGTGAAAACCAAAACACAGAATTAACAACATTGAGTATGTTAATTTCCTCCACCTTCCCAGCAAATTAATTCTTCCCTGCTTGTCTTCCATATTACATGGCTGTCCTGTATTAATTCACAATTTCCTAGTGTTTCTATATGTAAACTACGTTTTCAAAATGGTCACACACATTAATCTATGTTTTCAAAATGGTCACACACATTTCATAATAGACAAGGCAAATGGAATTGAAGCCATTAACTTTAAATTACTAAATGTCATGTTAATGAAATTCCATATATTTTTAATTATAATAAAGCAATACTTGAGCTATCATACATAACAATTACAACTCACTTTAAAAAGCACAATTCCAGCCTGGGCAACATAGCAAGATTCTCTCTCTACAAAAAACATTTTTAAATTAGCTGGGTGTGGTGGTATATGCCTGTGGTCCCAGTTACTTGGGAGGCTGAGGCAGAAGAATTGCTTGAGCCCAGGAGGTTGAGGCTGCAGCGAACTGTGATGGCACTGCACACCAGCCTGAGCAATGGAGAGAGAATCTGTCTCAAAAACAAAACAAAACAAAACAAATAAACAAAATGCACAGGCCAGGTGCAGTGGCTCACGCCTGTAATCCCAGCACTTTAGAAGGCCGAGGCGGGCAGATCACCTGAGGTCAGGAGTTCGAGACCAGCCTGGCCAACATGGTGAACCCCTGTCTCTACTAAAATACAAAAATTAGCCAGGCATGGTACTGCACGCCTATAATCCCAGCTACTTGGGAGGCTGAGGCAGGAGAATCCCTTGAGCCCAGGAGGTAGAGGTTGCAGTGAGGCAAGATCACACTACTGCACTCCAGCCTGGGCGACAGAGTGAGACTCTGTCTCAAAAAAAAAAAACAGCACAATTCCTTTTCACTCAAAGATGCATAACTGAATTTGGTGGGGGTTTTGTTTGTTTATTTGTTTGTTTTTGAGACGGAGTCCTGCTCTGTTGCCCAGGCTGGAGTGCAGTGGTGCAATTTAGGCTCACTGCAACCTCCACCTCCTGGGTTCAAGTAATTCTCCTGCCTCAGCCTCTGAGTAGCAGGGATTACAGGCGTTAGCCACTACACCCGGTTAAGTTTTGTATTTTCATAGAGACCGGGTTTTGCCATGTTGCCCAGGCTGGTCTCGAACTCCTGACCTCAAGCGATCCACCCACCCTGGCCTCCCAAAGTGCTGGGATTACAGGCGTGAGCCACAGAGCCCAGCCTGAATTTTGTTTTAATGAAGATCAACTTTTTTGTTACACTGGATTTAGATCCATGTTGGCAATACTTACGCACCTTCCACTTAATTGGAAAAAAAATAGTTGATCACATAACAAATTAACGCAGAGCATCTTTCAGAAAATATTTTTCTTTTCTTTTCTTTTTTTTTTTTTTTTTTTTGAAATAGAGTCTCGTGCACTGGCGTGATCTCGGTTTACTGCAACCTCTGCCTCCCGGGTTCAACCGATTCCCTGCTTCTGCCTCCCCAGTAGCTGGGATTACAGGCCCCGCTACCACACTCAGCTAATTTTTGTACTTTTAGTAGAGACGGGATTTCGCCATGTTGCTGTTACTACATTGAACTTAGAACATAAGAGTAATGACATCGGTGTATAAGCAGATTTTTAAAATTAAATTAAATTAAATAGTAGTAGTACCAAATACCGTGAAAGTATTTCAAAAATCCTGTTAATGATTACTCACTAATCATTAACTTCATAATTTGATAGTTGAATAATCAATTACTTCATAATTTGAATTTGTGTTCGAAATTTTTTTTTTTTTTTTTGAGACGGAGTCTCGCTGTGTCACCCAGGCTGGAGTGCAGTGGCGTGATCTCGGCTCACTGCAAGCTCCGCCTCCCGGGTTCACGCCATTCTCCTGCCTCAGCCTCCGAGTAGCTGGGACTACAGGCGCCCGCCACCACGCCCGGCTAGTTTTTTGTATTTTTAGTAGAGACGGGGTTTCACCATGTTAGCCAGGATGGTCTCGATCTCCTGACTTCGTGATCCACCCGCCTCGGCCTCCCAAAGTACTGGGATTACAGGCTTGAGCCACCGCGCCCGGCCTTTTTTTTTTTTTTTTAAACGTAGTCTTGCTCTGTCGCCCAGGCTGGAGTGCAGTGTCGGGATCTCTGCTCACTGCAACCTCCGACCCCCAGGTTCACGTCATTCTCCTGCCTCAGCCTCCCGAGGCTGGGACCACAGGCGCCCGCCACCACGCCCGGCTAATTTTTTGTATTTTTTTAGTAGAGACGGGGTTTCACCGTGTTAGCCAGGATGGTCTCGATCTCCTGACCTCGTGATCCGCCCACCTCGGCCTCCCAAAGTGCTGGGATTACAGGTGTGAGCCACCGCGCCCGGCCTTGAAATGTTTTACTCATATTATATGACATTTTCTGAATAAAGGCCAATTCTAAGAGAATCTTTCTTGTTTTACTAATGATTGATGAAGGTCCAGCAATCATTAGACAAAATGTTGGTAGAGAAAAAAATTATTTCAATCCAAATACAGATAGATTTTAACTTATAAGGTTTCATTGCCATGGTATATATAAGCTATTAAACTATAACTCCAATAAGAATAAAAAATGCTGCTCTGAATCCCAATGTGGTTCCAAAAGTTTCAGGAGAAAAAAACAGTCTTTTAATAATTATATATCTAATGACATTCACAGTTGATTTTTTTTCACCTGACAATATAAAAATGTTCATTTATTAAATTTTGGAAAGAGAAAAAATTCTTGCCTAATGTATTAATTGTATACTTACCGCAATCTAAAATTAATTTACTCAGATTGTGAACTGTTTTTCCTGTTTCTCTATTGGAACAGGGATGTAAAGACAAAACAAATATTCTCTTTGTTCTAGCAAACTATGCTAATCCAATGTATACAATACGTTTTCCACACCTGACATATAATAGTTTGAGATTTTATAATATACATATTTTTAATGTAGATATAAGTGGAGAACCAGAAGATTGATCTTGAGGGGTAGGAAATGAAAACAATACCAAAGAACATGAACTTAAATTATTTTAATACCGGTTTTCAGAGTAGATTCTACTATAAACCTTTTACAGAGCAGTGTCCCAGACACTAACTTTCCAGGCATTTGACAATTTACCTTCCATCTCACTTCCAATAACTTTTTTTTTTTTTTTTTTGAGACGGAGTCTCGCTCTGTCGCCCAGGCTGGAGTGCAGTGGCACAGTCTTGGCTCACTGCAACCTCTGCCCCTCCAGGTTTAAGCATTTCTCTGTCTCAGCCTCCGGAGTAGCTGGGATTACAGGCGCGTGCCACCATGCCCGGCTAATATTTTTTGTATTTTTAGTAGAGACGGGGTTTCACCATCTTGGCCAGGCTGGTCTTGAACTCCTGACCTCGTGATCCACCCGCCTCGGCCTCCCAAAGTGCTGGGATTACAGGCGTGAGCCACCGCGCCCGGCCTTCCATTAACTATTTTTTAATAAAATATTTGTATTTGAAAAAAATTATCCATATAATTCTATCCCTTCTTAATTTTTGTTCTCTTCCATTAAGAGAGTATGTTTTATTAAGGACTAGGCTTTAGGTTTATCATATCAGTGACAAAAATAGCTTGAATCTATAACCTAGATCATTTTAAAACATTTTGTAAATGGTGTCCTAAATATTTGAAGCATAAAGTGAAAAAAAAAACCGACTTTAAGCATGCCTGAGGTGTTCTGAAGCATATCACAAGCTAACATTAATGCAAGTTGACTGCTTCAAGTTTATTCTGCCAACCAATTGCACATCTGGACACACCACATTGAACACACCTGCTTTTTCAAGTGGCACTGTCCACAAATACTTTAAACGTATCACAGCCTACAAAGCCTCTTGTTTCCTGAAACTGTTACTCATAAACTATAACTTCTCATGCCTTCTACTCTTGAATGGAAAGGTAATACAAACGAAAAAGAAACCTGGCCAATGGGCAAAGAAACCTGGATGGTTCTAATACCAACAATTTGGATAAAATATTTGGAGAATGCTAATTTTTTATTTTGTTTAAGACAGATTGAAAGGCGGGAGCGAAGTCTTACGCCTGTAATCCCAGCACTTTGGGAGGCCGAGGTGAGCGGATCACCTGAGGTCGGGAGTTCGAGACCAGCCTCACCAACATGGAGAAACCCTGTCTCTACTAAAAATACAAAATTAGCCAGGCGTGGTGGTGATGCCTGTAATCCCAGCTACTTGGGAGGCTGAGGCAGGAGAATCGCTTGAATCCAGAAGGCAGAGGTCGCGGTGAGCCGAGACTAAGCCATTGCACTCCAGCCTGGGCAACAAGAGCGAAACTCCGTTTCAAAAAAAAAAAAGAAAAAGAAAAAGAAAAGACAGATTGAAATCTTTTATAGGTCAAAGAACGAGATAATAGAAGCTTTAAAAAGTACTTATACTTACCGTTTCTTCAATCCGTTCGCATAGAAAGACCCAAAGGTTTTCAACTTGGAAACAAATTTGAGGTGAAATGCATATCGCTCGCAGGTCCAAAAGATGCTGCCTAGCAAACTAGCAATTCCAGCGCTGTTGTGATTTCTTCTGCGGACGCAGTCACGAGTCCAGGGCGAAGCAGGCAGGGAGGCAGGTGGGCCTCCGTCCGCCGCAAGCTCACACTTAGGAGGACCTCCGGCCGCATGCTGTCGTCGTCAAGGCAACGACCTCACTCTGTCCCCAACCATAGGCACAAAGTCTTGGGAGAGAGATACAGCACAGGTCAGAATGCGTTCACGGCAGGCATCAACGCCTGTGAAGGCCAAGGGCTAGAGAGCAATTAGCTGGGTGAGAGGCAGCACCTCCCAGCTCGTAAGGCGCCCAGTACCTGGAGTCTGGGAACCTGCACGGCTCCAACTACCTCTGGGCGAAGGCGTTGGCCGCGGAGCTGGAAGGGGGCGGTTCCTCACCGCCCCGAGTGCCCCAGGCCTCCCTTGTTCTGATTGGCCGAGCCGTGTCGTCACGAGCCATGATTGGTTCAGGGCCAACCACCCCGCCCCTTCACCTAGGGCTCGGCCCAGGTTCTGCTCCCTGACACGCAGAGGCCCTGCGTCCCCACACGCCTTGGTTCTCGTCAGGAGGCGCGTTTCTGCCTTCGCCAGGGGAAGGAGGCGATTGTGATGCCCACGCGAAGGGTAAAGGTGGCGGTTATGTAGGACTGCGAAGACTATGCAAAATGCGATACGGTTTCCCTCACAGCCACGCCGCTGGGCAGGGGAGGGCCCAGGCCCCCTGAGTCGCGAAGGCGCGGCCTGACAGCGATTCCAAGCTTCCTTTCCGTTCTGGGCGGTGGGGCCAGTGTGAGCCAGGTAGGAGATGACGGTGATAGTCTAGGAGGTGATGATTAGTAGGCGAGGCAAGTGGAAGAAGGTAGGTGATGACAGACCTGATGTTAGGAGGGCCCTTGGGGAGGCCAGTCTGGCCATTGAAAGTGAGGGAAAACACTTTGAGATGGAGGAAGGGGAAGAGAGGGAATGAGTGGAATGGGAAAGTGCTGGGATGGCTGGGGATCTGGAGGACACGCACAACATCCGCGTATGGCAGCCAAATGGGGTGGAGTTAGGGCTTGCCATAAAACTTGCCTTAAATGTAAAAATGCAGCTCAATCCATGACTGAGCAAGACTGGTAGGTCAGAATCATGCACAGGCTTAAATCACACAGGAACAGAGCCTTCCCCATTTTCAGGGGATCTGAGGCAGCGAGGAGGCCATAAGGCCAGTAATATTTTACTTTCAATCATGATAACTAAACGTTTCGTGATCATTTTGGTCTCTAAACTACTTTGATTTAGGGAATAGAGTGTTCTGGATAGCAGACAAATGTCTACCATATACCCTAGTCAATATTAAGGTATTAATAATTAATGTTAAGGTATTGATTCTTTCTTGTACATTAAGAAATAGACATTCTTTTTATAGTCTTTTGTGAGTTTGGTTAGTTTGCATTAATCTCCCAGTGGTTAATTACCTTGGTCAAACTGCTTCAAATCTAGTTCCTGAACCTTAATAATTGAGAACCAGACCTGAGGTCTAGTTATGTCTTTGAATAGAATTATTTGGTCAATTCAAGATGTGAGTCTTAATGTAGCAATTAGCTCTATCCTTATCTGTGACCAAGTTGTGAGAAACCTTGTCCCATTTTGGTACCTCTATAGGCTATAAGAGACTCTGATGAACTTCTTTTGTATGGGGGTAGATTCAATTTTGTTGGGCCTGAGGCTCAAAAACAAGAGCGCAAAACTATTTTACTTTTGCAATTTTATAATCATATGCAACCATATAACCTTTTAAGGCCCCTTCATGCAAGAGGCCTAGAAGCTTAAACGGTCCATTCATACCTCACAGGGAACCAAAGGATAAAGACTGAAAATACTGGATTTGGCAAACAAGTGATGCTTTAGAAAACAATTTCAGCCAGATGCCGTGGCTCATGCCTGTAATCCCAGCACTTTGGGAGGCCGAGGTGGGCGGATCACCTGAGGTCAGGAGTTCAAGACCAGCCAGGCCAACATGGTGAAACCCCGTCTCTACTAAAACTACAAAAATTAGCTGGGCATGGTTGTGGGCGCCTGTAATCTCAGCTACTTGGGAGGCTGAGGTAGAATTGCTTGATTCCCCGAGAGGCTGAGGTTGCAGTGAACCAAGTGCACCACTGCACACCAGCCTGGGTGACACAGTGAGACTCTGTCTCAAAAAATAAAAATAAATAAAAAGAAAACAATTTCAATAAGAACTAAGTTTGAAAGCCAGTTGTAGAGGACAAAGGGTATTAAAGACTTACACATTCTGGCCATCTACAGGATTGTTATAGAGAAGGTATTATGTAGAAACAGGATTGTGTTACTATTTTTTCTTTCCTTCTTTCTTTTTCTGAGGCAGAGTCTTGCTCTGTTGCCCAGGCTGGAGTGCAGCAGCACAATCTCGGCTCACTGCAACCTCCGCTTCCCAGGTTTAAGCCATTCTTCTGTCTCAGCCTCCCAGGTAACTGGGATTACAGGCGCCCACCACTATGCTCAGCTAACTTTTTTCTATTTTTAGTAGAGATGGGGTTTCGCCATGTTGACCCGACTGGTCTTGAAATCCTGACCTCAGTTGATCCGCCCGCCTCAGCCTCCCAAAGTGCTGGGATTACAGGCGTGACCCATCGCACCGAACCTATTTTTTCATTTTGAAGTGGGAAATATTTATAGGGAAAAAGAGTAGAGAGAGACCTTAAAGAGGCAAGAAAAGGAATAATTAATGAAAAACCAAGGAGAGGTACTGAAGAGTAGGTAATACTGTATGAGAAGGGGTTAGGCTTGAAGAGGTTTAGAGAAAATGGAAAAAACTGAGAAAAGTGTAGGGCATACACTGCGGGCCCAGGTCATCTCAGTAAAAGAACTTTATTTTTGGATAAAAAGGTAATGGTGAGATAGAGGATTAAGGATTTGAGAGCAGAAATACGCTAGAATAGGTACGAAGTCATTTTGATATAAAAGGAACACAAAATAGTAAAAATGTGCTCACTTGAGCCTGAACACCATGAATTTACAGTGAACCAACTGACACTGGTGCCCAGAATTGGGCAACCCCAAAGGAAAGAATGGAGAAAACAGATGGTATTCCATCAGTTCTCTAAAAGAGAGAGGTGGCTCTTTTAGAGAACTGATAATGCAACAAGATTAAACAAAGGAGTTAAGGAATTTCAGAACAAGGATCACTGAGAAAAAAAAGTGAATCAAAGATGCTGGAGAAAATACCACTAAAATTGCTTGCCATGGGCTCCTGCTAGATAGGAAGATAAATATTGACAGCAGTTAGCTAATAAACTGAAAACAAGCCAGGCACGGTGGCTCACACCTGTAATCCCAGCATTTTGGGAGGCCAAGGCGGGTGGACCACAAGGTCAGGAGTTTGAGACCATTCTGGCTAACATGGTGAAACCCCATCTCTACTAAAAATACAAAAAAATTAGCTAGGCGTGGTGGCAGACGCCTGTAGTCCCAGCTACTTGGGAGGCTGAGACAGGAGAATGGTGTGAACCCGGGAGGCGGAGCTTGCAGTGAGCCGAGATTGTGCCACTGCACTCCAGCCTGGGCGACAGGGCAAGACTCTGTCTCAAAAATAAATAAATAAATAAATAAATAAATAAATAAATAAATAAACTGAAAACAGAGGCACCGAGGGTCTGGAAGTCATCATAGGCATGAAGAATAAGTTTAAGAATAAGTTTAAAGGCGCAATATAGGAGGAAAAAGTTATCAGAGAAAGCAGTTTGTGTATTCCAGTTGTTGGAATTGGCACAGGATGATCAGTTCTAAAGGGTGGAGTATTTGGCTGGTTCTTGGGTAGCTGAAGTTGAGTGGAAAATGTCATTGAGTTCAAAGAAACTTGAGGTTACAGTATGAAAAGTTCATTAACATGAACTACCCAAGTAGGACTATAGTGGAAGAGGCTCAGAAAGACATGATTCACTGAAGAAAGTGAAAATGTTCCAAAAATCTAAAGAAAACAGTATGGGAGTGCATGAGGTGGATGTCAAGAGAGGACAGCTCGAGAGATGGCAATAGCAGTGAAATAAATGTGAAATAGATTAAGGACCATGTGACCCAGCAATTCCACTTCCAGGTATTATAAGAGAAATAAAAACATGTTCACGTAAAAACTTACACACAAATGCTCACAACAGCATTATTAATAGCCAAAATATATATATATATAGAAAAAACCCAAATGTCCATCAGCTGAGGAATAAAATGTGGTGTATTCAACTTAATGGAATATTACTCAACCATAAAAGGAAGTGCTGATACATGATGGATGAATCTTGAAAACACTATGCCAAGGGAAAGAAGCCAGACACAAAAAGGCACATATTATACAAAGTGTCCAGCCTAGGCAAATCCATAGAAACAGAAAGTACATCAGTGGTTACCAGGGGCTATGGTTAGATGGGAATGGAAAGTGACTACAGATAGGTATGAGGTTTCTTTTTGGGGTGATGAAAATGTTCTGGAATTAGGTAGTGGTGATGGTTGTATAACCTTGTGAATATACTAAAAACCACTGAATTGTACACTGAAAAAGGTGAATTTTATGTAATTTGTATCTTAACTTAAAAATAATAGACTAGAGGGGGATTAGAAATTATAGCCTGCCCAGAAATATTTTCCAATGAATTTATATATTTTAGTTTAGAGTAGACCCATTCTTCCTCACATTAGCAATCATCTCTTAAATTGCTGTCCACAACAATCATTTTCTACATATCTTGACATCCAAAAAACAATGTGCTTGGGCCATTTTCTTGCCCATCCCCCACTAGTCACCCCAAAAAGTCACTCACTTAAGCTCCATGAGATCCTGACTGATGAGGTTTTGGCATCACCTCAATTGAGTCACCAAATGAAAGGGCCGTAAAATCTTTAGACTACAAAAGGTTCTTCATTATCAGTATATTATAGAACATGCAACAATGAATACATTTCCCCATTCTATTAAGAAAATGGACTGACTCATTTTGAAGTTTTAAGTTTTTTTGATGAGAGGACATTTGCTAAACCTAGTAGTTTAATGACTTGATTACTACATTAAAAGATTATGAAGACAACTAGATTTGAAAACCTAAAGTATAAGGTGCCACTTATTTTGCCAAGTTCAACATATACCACACCTTGCTGTATCAGCCACCAGCATCTATACCATAGTGGTTGTGAACATACGAATCCATTCCTCAAATATTAAAAATAGTATATATTCTTTCCCACTTAGTTAACCATGGTAATAAATAAAATAGTATACCTTCTGGTTGTTTGCACTAGTAACATGCCTCTTATTACCCTCCCTTACTTTTCATTTCCTTCTAGCCTCACCCCATTCCTCTGTTCATCCTCCTCATAGCAAAACTCCAGAAAAAGTTGGTGTTCATTAGTTCAATTTCTGAAAATCCAGTCCTCTCTTGGGCTTCATCCTTATTACTTCGTTGAAATAGTTCTTACCAAAGTCACTATGGCCTACATACTGCCAAAGACATCTGTAGTGGAGCTTACTAGCTACTCACAATAAGCTGATTTCTCTTTTACCTGTACGCATGGCTTATTTTTTGCAACCACCATGAAGTTGGGAATGGCTATGTGATTGAATTCAAGCCAATGGAATATGAGATGTGTACATTCCCATTCCTGGCCCATAAAAATCTAGCACTCATGATCCTCCATGCTCTTTTTCCCTTTCAGTTAGCTATAGTAGAGATTATTCCGTAATCTTGGAGCCACCTATTGAAGTTGGTAGAGCCTTCATTCACCTGTTTTTCTAAATAGCTTCATGGGAGGAGGGCCAGACCACTGGCCTTTTCACTGCCACTCTAATACTTTTTAGAGGAAGCAGGGAAAAAAACTATTTTATCTAAGCCATTAGACATTTTGGGATCTATTTATTATAGCAGTTAGCCCACTCTAATTCACTTGCTATTTTATTTGAACTTTCAGCAGCATGACACAACTGTCTATCCTTTTCTTCTGATAAACTCTTGAAACTTGGCTTCCCATGACACCAAAACTTATCATATTTTGTCTCATTGTTTTATTTGTATGCTCCTCTCCTGTACTATAATCCTAAGTTTTGGAAGTATCTGAGGTCTCATTCGTCAGCCTCATCTCTTCTATACATACTCTTCTTAAGTGATCTCATCTAATCCAAAGGCTGTAAAGATCTATTTGCACCACTCACAGCACAGACTTCTCAGAACTCCAGAATCACACATTTAATTGCTTGACATTTCTTCTTGGATATCCAATTGGCATGTGAAACTTAACATGGCTAAAACAGAACTGTTGATTTCCCCTCCACAATCCACTTCTCCTCTTTCCCTATGTGAGTACCATAGCCTTCCATCCAAGGTGCTCCCAAATCCTATGAGTCAACCTCGAGTCTTCCCTCCCTCACATTCAAAATCCAATCCCTAAGCAACTTTATAGGTTCTACCTCAAAAACATATCTCATTAACTGACCACTAACCACCATCTCCACTGCTACAACCCTTATCCAAGCTACCATCACCTGTCACCTGACAGCTCTTCCTAATTCAGATCACATCAATATTCAGATCCCTACAATCCCGAGTAAAATTCAAAATACAAGACCACCCTCAATTTAGCTCTTCCTACCTCTTAATATCTACCTATTAATATCATCTGCATTATCTCTAGAGCCATAATGGCCTTCTTATTGCCCTTTAAGATACCAAACTCCTTCCAAAAACAGGGCCTCCAAATTTTCACTTGGAACACTTTACCCCTGGATTTACTCAAGGCCGTCTTCTCTTCAAATCTTAGGTATACCTCTTTTCATTACCATCCTGGGTAGAACAGCCCCATCTCCGGTCACTATTCTCCTGTACTAGTTCTACCCCAATTAGCCATGTGGTCTTGAACAAATAGCTAACCCTTTGTGCCTGAGTTAACCCTTCTGTAAATCGTACTACTCTCATAGGATTACCATTAGGATTAAATAGGTTGTATTCTGCTCAGGACAAATCAGAACTGAAATTGACATGCTTGCTGCCTCTCTCCCTCAAAATACAAATTTCCTAAAGGTAGGTTGCATCTGCTGTACTGCCAGCCAGCATCTAGGCAAGTTTCCGGCACATATTCAGTGCCGGTATTCATTAATGGATATACAAGTTCTTCTCACATCTTTCACATATATGTGTTA